ATGCCCGTCTAAGAAAGGACAATCCTTGAAGACTGCCAGTCGTCAACTGAAAGGAAAGTAGAAGTCGCTCCTCACTCTGGCTGTTCTGCCCACCCCACCGCCCAAGGCAGAAGCCCCGGCGCCCACTCGCCCTGGCGGCGAGGCTCTGGCTGCATCCTGTGGCTCAGGCCCTGCTGTTGCTAGTCTGGGGGCGCTGGGGGGCGTCCCGGCCGAGGGGCAGCACCACCAGGCGCGGAAGGAAAAGGACGGCTGGGCCTCTCGGACGGAGCCGCCCCACAGGGGCTGACGGAGGCTGTTTTGTCAGGAGTGGGGAGCGGCTCACGGATTCCTGGCACCCCCACCCCACCCCCCCAGTCTGTGTCTCACTGTCCGAGCAGCTGCTCTCTCAAGGCCTGCTGGCCCAGGGCGGGGTCCCGGCTCCCCCCCCCCCCGCCCCCCGCCGTCTCTTGCTCCAGGTCGGCTGCTCCCCCACGGTCAGAGCTCAGGGAAAAGGGGAGCTGCCAGACTCCTCTGATCATTTCAGCCACTCAGGCAGTGCGTGGTTTTCCACAGTGTCTCGGGGAGAGTGGCGTCACTGCCAGAGGCCCACCGGTCCACTCCTTCTGGTCCTGCGCCCTCTTCCTCAGCGTGGGGCAGGGCGCGGGAGAGCAGGTGGCATTCCCGGCATTCCCGGCACCGCCCTGCACGTGTGCGAGGCCTTGGGAATGGAGGGCGGCCCTCTTCGGCGTGTCCTTGCCGTTCCCAGCTGTCGTCCAGGCCCCAGTGACTGGTGCGGCCGAGCCCCCAGGAGCCTGGGCGTGGCCGAGGACGCCCTCCCAGCCCTGCACCCCCACCGCCTCCTTGTTCCTTGGAGGCCACAGGCCAAGAGGGGACACTGAGGGGCCACCTGGAGGGGGAGGTGTCTGGAGGACAGGGCAGAGGACCCAGCGCCCCGACCCCTCCCTCAGGAGGCCCGTCCCTCGGCTTCCCCGGCAGAGCAAAGACGGAACTGAGGCCGAACCACAGGCGGGGGGGGCTCTTCCCCAACCCCTCCGACGCCCAGTCTGAGTCCATGGGACCGGTCAGGCCTCTGAGGGGGTGGGGCCTCTGCCCTGTCCGCTTCCCAGCCAGAGCTCAGTCTCCAGTGTGGCCCATCTGAGCCCACAGCCGCGTCCTGAGCCGCGTCCTGGGCCGCCTCCAGGGCCTGACCGGGACCCCACCCTTCAGCCCGGCCACCGACAGCAAACTTGGCCTCCGAAGGGCTCCAGGGCGGGGCTGGGGGCTACACACCGGGGACCACAGAGCACAGAGGAGCATCCCCCACCATGTTCCTCCCGCCAGACTCCAGGGGTCTGGGTGCGGAGGAAAGCACACTCGGCCTTCACCTCTGCCTCCCTGGGTGGCCTTGGACAAGAGACCTCTCGTCCCCTGTCCCCTGTGTCCCACTGCCCAGTGGGGAGGTTGCACTAGACAGCCTGCTAGCCATGGGCAACCACCAGCCACGAGATGCCCCTTCCCGGAAACAAAGGGCAGCAAGGGGGGCCGGCGCTCCCTCCACCTTCAGTGCGCCCTCAGCGGGAGAAGTCAGGCGCTTGCTCCATCCCAGCTGCCCTGCTCCCTCCCCGCTGTGCGCTGTGGGGTGAGCATCCGGGGCTAAGTCCCTGCAGTGACTCGGAGCACCTGGCCTTCAGAGGGTGTCCAGACCTCCTCGCCCCAGCTGCAGGAGAGATCCCCAGGGCACCAGGCCCCCGATACCTGGAGACGGCTGTTTCTAGCCGCCCCCCCCCCGCCCCCCCGCCCAGTGGTGGGAGCCGCTTCCCACTGAGAGAGGGCTGCAGACCGCAGCCCAGACTGGGGTCTGGGCTCTGCTTACTGGCTGTGTTCAGATTCGGGCAGTTTTTCTGGGTCTTAGTTTCCTCCTTTATAAGAGATTTAACTTTCAGAGTTCTTATGAAGATTGATCTGTGATTCAAGATTACACGAGCCGTCAGCGATGAAAAAACAAAGAACCGGAACCTGGCAAAGGAAAGATATCCTCTCCCGGTCGGGGGCGGGCCAGGCGAGGGCTGGAGCAGACCGGGCGCCAGCACTGAGGCTGGGCCTGGAGCGCCGTCCCTGGACTCGGGCAGTGCATGAGCCGGACCAGGACAGACAGCCGGGGTGCCCAGGGCACGTGCACGCTGGGCCCGGCATGGGGCTCACCACAGGCCGAGAAGAGGCTGGGCCGACTGAGTGGTTTGTGCACTGAACGCAGCCACGGCGAGCGAGCCCCGTGGGCACCGTGACCCCAGCAGCCCGGTCCGCTGTCCTGGGCGCCGAGGACAGGAGGGCGGGTGGTCGGTGGGGGCCTCGCCTGCAGTCACAGGGGCTGACCTCCTCTCTCCCTGAGAAGCTCAGGGGACAGTTTTCTCTCCTTCATCCCAGCCCCATGACAAGCCAGCCGACCGACACACAGGACCTCTCACCAGCAGGAAATGAAGCAACTTGGGCTGAGACAGCACCGCCTCAGTGGAGGCAAGTCCAGGCTACGGCCTCCTCGCTGTCAGGTGACTCTTGTTTGGAAACAGTTCTGTTCCTAAGGGTGCCGGCCGCTAGGGAGGGCGAGGAGCCCCGGCCTGTGGGGGTGGGAATGAGGGAGGAGCGCGGCTCCTTGTGGAGGCAGGGAAAACGGAGGTCGGGGTCAAGGGCGCTGGGGGTCTCGGGGAAGGGCGCCAGACCAGGAACAGCCCCCCGGCTCGCACCTCTTCGCTCCACGTCGACGTAAGAAACGCCCGAACACACAAATAACGTTTGTAAAAATGCATTTGAGCCAAACTCCAATGCACAGCCCCCGGGGAGCGAGATCTCAGAGGAGGGCGCTGCGACTGCCCCGTTGCACATGCACTAGGCGGGGACTGGGTCACGGGCGAGTTCACGGGGTTACGGGCTTTCTGGAGGGGGTCGTGCTTGTTTCCCCTTCTCCTCCTCCTGCTTCTGGTCACGGCCTGTCACACAGATGCACACGCAATGCACAGGTGCACATGCACAGGCCGGGGGAGCAAGGTGCAGGGCTGGCTGGAGACGGAGAAAAGCCTTTCAGCAGAGAAGTCACCTGCCGGAGCATGGCCGTCACCCCGGCCGTCACCCCGGCCTGACCAGTCGGGAATCTGCAAGCACATCCCCTGGGGGGTCACCCTCCACGAACCCCTTTTCCGTGCACACCAGCTTCCTGAGGCCCTGAGGCCCACACACAGGCCCTCCTACCGCCTGGGCCACACCCACGGCTCGGGGACCTGAAACCACACACGCGTCTTCCAGTCCCCTTGCCAGGACTCGCTGTGAGCAGGCTGTCACCCTGTGGACTGCCCTGACGGCAGCTCAAAATTGGTCCTTCCGTCACAGGAAGTGACGCAAACACGAAGCTCACTGGCACTGCCGTGGACGAGTCCTTCGTCTCTGACATGCCAGAGCCCACAGCACTGTGGCTGCCTCATTAGCTTGTAAGGAGCACGCAAACCTCGCCGCTGTTGACGGGAAAATGAATGGTGGGAGAGTGGAGAGGAAACTCGAGGACAGAAGAGGGCTCGGGGCAGTGGGGGGCCAGCGGGACGGGAGGCTGAGGGCTGCCAGCCCGGGACCTCGGCCAGCCCCGCCTGTCCCCGAGACACCTCGGGGAGGCCTCGGAGCACACGGCTCGGGCCAGTCTGCGCCCGAGAGATAACTTCTGACAGAGGGAGAGAGTGAAAATAGGCTGTGTTTCATCCACATCCTACGCCCCCATGAAAATGTTCGCCACTTTGCACCACCTCTGTCAGAGACCAGAGGGAGCCCCCCTCCGTGCCCCCCGTCAGGGAGACGGAGCTATTGCTGGAGGCCATTGTGCCAACCACCCCCCACAAAAGGAGTCCAGCGCCTTCAAGGGGGAAGTGCTGACACTTCAGTGTCCACGGAGGGTGACTCTGGCCGCACAGCACAGGGAGCAGACGGGGGGTGAGAGGGAGCGGCCGTGCACAGAGGGGCAGGGAGCCTGCGGCGCCAACCTCGGGTCACGACCGCGGGGGCCCGGGAAAATAAAGGCACTTTGTTGAGAAGCCCTCTGACCCAGTTCTGGCTTTTGCTGTTCTGAGCTTTTCATTCACTGCCTGTTAATTAATTTATAGCTGGCAGAGAACGGGGTTGCCCTGGATCTTTGGCCAAAGCATGCGGAGCCTCGGTGAGGAGTTTTAGTCTCCGCCTGAGCGGTGAGGGGTCAGAGGGGTCTGCATGGGGGTGAGTCACCCGTCAGGCCTGGTTTTCAAAGCACCTCAGAGAAGGGCAGAGGCTGTGGGAGTCCCCCGGTGGCCTGCTCCTGGGGACCAGGGGCCACCTGTCCTGCTCCTTGGTGCCACACTGAAGCCTCAGGCTGGCGACACACCTTCTCCTGCTCCTTCCCAGAGGCGCATCGGAAATTCTTGGGAATTTCCCACTCCAAGCTGACTTTCCCTCTAAATAACCACGGAGAGTGAAAGGCCTTCACTCTCAGGCCCAGCTGCGGGAAAAGGCTCACAGAGAGAACCCCCAGGGGAGAGCAGGTCGGGCGGGGTGCGGCTGGACGCGGGGAGGAAGTAAGGCACAGCCTGCTGGGGCGCGGTGGGTTGCAGAGCCCGACTGTGCCCCGCTTCTCCCTGGCCGAGGGCCCGGGCCGGGAGCTGGGGACGGAGAGGTCACAAACGCGAGAGCTGCCGCGGAAGTCCAGATACTGGCTGGGAAGGCCAAGGGGGCGGGGTGGGGGGCCGCAGAGGGTCTTCGGAAGTGACACTCGGTCCCTGGGGCAGTTCCAGGGCGTCACCCCAATGGCTCTGCGAAGGCAGGTGCCTCCTGAAGACCTGGCCCAAGTTTTCACAACCCCCGGGGGTTTCGCAACCCTCCCTGGGGGCCCAGGGTGCTTCTCCGCCACTGCCCAGTCTGGCGGTTCCTCCACTGACAGCTCAGTTCCCATAAATGGATGGTTTGGGGCGCAGGGCTGTGCGTGGGACAGGTATAAAAGGAAGTGTGGGGCAGGGAAGAGGCTCTGGCAGGGCGGCTGGGCACCACAAGCGCAGGAAGAGGCCACACCATGCCCCTCTCCACTGCACCCAGCACGGGCCTGAGGGCGGCTCACGCAGGTCTGGGGGCTGGCCGCGGGTCTGGGCTGCGGGCGCCGGCTGACCGGCCCAGCTGCACACAGAGCCGCTGCACAGAGGGGTCTGGACCCGCTGGGGGAGGGACAGACGGGTGGACGGAGAGGAAGCAGGGCCGGGAAGGGGAGGAGGCAGCTAGCCATTACGCCCTGACTGTGGGGTGGGGGGCGTGGAGGAAGGGCAGCAGTAGCTGCAGTGGTCTGACCCGGCTCTCCCTCCCCCAGGCCTCCTGGTCCTGCTGCTGCTCCCGAGCTGTAAGTGGCCCCTGGGTGGGGAGACTGTTGTGCTGAGGGAGGCCTGGCAGGGGGTCCCTCCAGGTTCTTCTGTGATTCATAAAGGCTCAGAAATATTAACATTTGTTAAACGAAAGTGAGAAGTATTTTCATGTTTACCTTGCTATTCTCTACTTTTCTGTATATTTGAAATTTTTCACAACAAAAATCGGTCAGAGGCCAGGGTTCCGTGGAGACCAGGGGAGACCCAGTGGCCGGTGGGTGAGCAGCACCCAGGTTCTCCCTGCAAAAAGGCAGAAACGTCAGGAGGAGGGAGGGGAAGGACTCCTGGTCCCTGGACACGGTGCCCAGCTTGGGGGACGGGCCAGGGGCCTGGGATGCTGCTGTTCCAGGTGGCCTTCAAGTCAGGGCCACCCCCACAGGAAGGCGGGGTCAGACCCAGGACCCACTACAGGCCAGGCAAGGCTCCCAAAGGCCAGGATCTCCTGGCACAGCCGCCCTGGGGTGCTCCCTCCTCCCCTTCTCAACCTCCGGGAAGCCTTCCCTACGTGCAGGGACTCCTGGTCCTGCTTCCTCATCAGACCCGGAGCTCCCGAGGCACAGGCTCCTGCATGCACCACCGTTTCCGTGCACAATTCCAGCGCTGCTCATGCGCCTGCCCCGTGTGCTGGGCTCGGGGCTCAGCAGCCAGGGGGCCCCTGGCAGAAGCCTGGCCCAGGCCCCACCCGACTTCTCCTGCAGGTGCTGCGTCCACACTGGCCTGCTACTACACGAGCTGGTCCCAGTATCGCCAGGGGGCCGGCAGCTGCTTCCCAGATGCCATCGACCCCTTCCTCTGCACCCACATCATCTACAGCTTTGCCAACATCAGCAACAACGAGATCGACACCTGGGAGTGGAACGATGTGACCCTGTATGACACGCTGAACACACTTAAGAACAGGTTGGGCTCAGGGCCGGCCGGGCAGGAGGCAGGTGGAGGGGGAGCCGCGCCTCCGCTCCGGAGCGAGGCCAAGGGCCCCCTGCACCCACCTCTGCAGAGAGAGTCTGAGGCCTCGGCCGCAGTGGGAGCAGGTGGTGAGGGCAGCGCTGGGGGTGAGGGCGGAGGCGGCTGTGCTCCGGGGCCCTCCTGTCCCCGGGGCGTCTCTCCGAGGACACGAGGGTCGCGCCCAACTCTGTTTCTCCGCGTCCGGGCTTCCCTGCGGCGGAGGGACACAGAAACGGGCAGCGAACCTCAAGCCGAGACGCTGCATCGCGGGCGCGGAAGGACCTCAGAGGCCGAACGCGGGGCCACATGGCACCGTCACCCACCCGGCCCTCCTGCCCCCTCACACCCCGCAGGAACCCCGCCCTGAAGACCCTCTTGTCGGTAGGAGGGTGGAACTTCGGTTCTCAAAGGTAGGACCCGCTCCCCAGAGGGTGAGGGCGCGGGAGTGGGGAGGCACAGCTATCCCCGCCCTCCGGAAGGAGGGTCCGGGCCCGCCTGGTTAGGTCGCGGCCTCGAGCCCAAGCGAGAAACTGGGCCAGAGTGACAGGGGCTTCGCGAGCGTCACGGCCACTGCCCGTGGGCCTCCTGGCCCCGTTCAAGACCTCTCACCCTGGCAGCGGAGGGTTTCTGGCCACCCGAGCTCTGCAACCTGCGGGGCCGGACAGAGAGGGAGACAAAGAACGGGAAACCCGGGGATGGAGGCCTGGGAGGGTGCCCAGGAGCGGGGCAGGGGCCCCGGGCTTCCCGTGGCGGTGGGCGTGGCCTCCAGCGCTCCGGCGGCTCTGAGCCCGCTCACAGTCGGGCGCCCTTCCAGCCCTTGACCTAGGCGACCCTCACAGCGGCACTGAGATATTCACTGCGCGTGCCCCCACTTTGCAGACAAGATAACTGGGCCTCAGGCTATAATCTGCGCGGGGTGCCTGGCCAGGAGGTGCTGAGCGCGCCTGGGAAACCAGGAGCGCCAGGCCCCGAAGCACAGGCTGAGAAGGGCTGCTCCCGAGTCTGCGGGGGCGGGGGCGGGGGCGGGGGCGGGGCGCGCGCTCCCTGCTCCTCGCACAGAAGCCGCTCCAGAGGGCGGCCACCCCCAGCGTTTCAGCGCTAAGCACTCTGCGGGGGCGATTTTCATGCCAGGTTTTCCAGAGTAGCCTCCAACACCCAGCACCGCAGGACGTTCGTCAGGTCGGTGCCGCCGTTCCTGAGGGCCCACGGCTTTGACGGGCTGGACCTCGCCTGGCTCTACCCCGGACGCAGGGACAAGCGGCATCTCACCACGCTGGTCAAGGTGCTGGCTGGCTCCGGGACGGGCAGGGAGGTGGGTGGGTAGCGGGAGGGGTGGACGGAAGCTGTCTGTCCCGGCGTCCTCCTGACAGCAGGAGAGCAGGACTGAGGCCCCAGACCTCAGGGTCCTGGGATCCAGCCCAGAGCAAAGGCCCATGGGCCAGACCCGAGACATCCCGGAGCAGGAAGACCCCCTGTGACCACAGTGGGTAGTGGGGTGAGGTCCTAGGAAGCAGAAGGTCACTCGGCAGAGCACCCACACAGATAGTGGGCCGTCACTACCCCTGTTCGGTCCCAAAGCAACAGGCTGCATCAGGGACACTCAGCCACATATGGGGCCACCCAGGCATCTCCAGTCACCCCAGGGGCGGGGTGATTGTCCCCAGCAGCAGTACAGCCCCTTTCAGCCTGTGGCCCCGTGTGCCAGCTGTGACAGGGCAGAGACCAGAAGGCAAACTTCTCCCAGCACCAGCAGCAGCCCCACGGGATCTCCTCTGCAGCACGGGGTGGCAGGGGGTGGCAGGGGGTGGCGCTGAGCAGAGACGAGGTGGAGGCCAGATGCATCCACACAGTCTGTAGGGGAAGGAAGAGCATGCCTGCGACAGGACCACCGACGGGCCCCTGTCCTGCCACGGAGCCCCACACCGCCGGGGTCGCAGCAGCGGGAGGCCATGAGACACTCAGGGCCCGGCCTCCCTCCTCGGGGCTCCCCTTCCCCCCTCCAGGCTCCCTTCCACTCCCTCGCCTCTCTCCCGCCCAGGAGATGAGGGCCGAGTTTGCGAAGGAAGCCCGGCAGGGCTCAGAGCAGCTGCTCCTCAGCGCCGCGCTGCCTGCTGGGAAGGTGGCCCTAGATGGAGGCTATGACGTCGCCCGGTTGGCCCAGTGAGTCCCCACCCTACTGTGTCGTCCCTGGGCATAGTAACCCCAGTCTTTCCTCCTCCACTTGGGGTCCTGAGCAGAGCAGGGAGTTGCAGTGCAGGCATCTAGAGAAGAAAGAGGGAGACTCTGTGAAACCCGAAACCAGGACTGGGCACTCCCCACAGCTGGGTGGGCAGTGGGCAGCGGGCGTATCCCTGGGGAGCGAAGCCACGGTGAGGCTGTGCCTCCTTTCCAGGTGGCCAGGGTGCCCACAGACCGCCTTCTGCCCCTCAGGCCACACCCTCACCTCACCCCAGGGAGAAGGCGCTGCCCCCCAACGGCCTGATGGCGGGGGGAGCAAAGGCTGGGTCCTGGGAAACGGGACCAGAGAACAAGGGCTCCCCCCAAGGCTCTCGAGCCCTCTTTACGATCGCAGGGAGGTGGAGACTCAGAGCTGAAATCGACCACCTGCAGGGTAGGGAAGAGGGAGCCCTCTAACCTCTTTCCCCAATACCTGACGCTCCAGTTCACGAGTCCACCTGCGGCCCCTCCCTTAGGTGTGCGGTCGCAGCCCAGGTGCCCTTGTGCTGCTGCCTCCTCACAGGCTGTTGCTGATGACGCTCAGTCGCTCTCGGTGGGATGAACCCGCTGGGCTGGAGGGACCAGCAGGCGGGACGGCGGGCCCTTTGGCACGATGGGGGTTTGGGTGGACGGCCCATCTCTCAGCCACCCGGGTGCCGGCTCACATCCCGCGGGGCTGGTGGTCCTGTGGCCGAGAGCTGTTCTGATTCGCCCCCTGCCTCCCGTCTTCTCTGCTGCAGACACCTGGACTTCATCAGCCTCATGACGTACGACTTCCAAGGAGCCTGGCGCCAGAGCACCGGCCACCACAGCCCCCTGTTCCGGGGCCCGGGGGTGGCAAGTGCTGACAGGTTCAGCAACGCTGTGAGTGTGGGGTGGGGGTGTCTTGGCCAGCCCCACGCACCACCCCCCACTCCTCAGTCAGCCCGCAAGGCAAGGTCAGGGGCCACGCCCTACATCCTCATGATGCCCATGATGCCTCACTGAGGCCCAAGGGCCACGGGTTCCCAGAGGTCTGGGCACAGAGAAGGCTGGGCCTCCCCTGGCGTGTGTCCCCCCACGGCCACAGAGGGACCGTACCGGCAGCAGGGGGACGAGAGCACGCTGGGCTGTGGAGGCCGGTCTGGCCATGTGCTCGCCTTGGGGCCTGAGCCAGCCACCCGACCTCTGCAACTGTCACACAGTGACACTGCCTCCCGGTGCCCGTGGGGTTGGGGGGGCCTCCTCCTGCTGAGCTCCCCCCACCCCCGCCCCCGGCCTCCACGGATGAGAATAAGTCTACCAAGACATGATCTGCTTGGGGAGGAAAGGTGGTGAATCACTCAAAGGAAAAGGACCAGGAGCCTGTTTCTCAATGGGCTTTTATTGGGTTCAATTGCACAGGAATACAGATAAAGCTCATCGATCATTGCCAGGCAGTAAGGATCAAACAATAGATAACAAAGAACTCTGAGGGCCTATTGAGTCAGGGTCAGAGAGCTAAAGAGCTGTAAAACTTTGAGGAACAAACTTACTTCTTGGTTGGACCCTTATTTAATTGAGAGCATTCTAAACAAAGCAGGTTTCACAGGATTTTACACGTTCTTTCTTAGGCCTGATCACCCGGGATACCAACCCCTTCCAGCAAAGGGCTGCACCGCCCTCTGTCATTGTTTCAGGCTTAAGGCATTGTCTTAGACTTAAGACAAGCAGGGGAAGTAAGGCAGCCAAGAGATTAGGAGACCCCTCATAGATGGAATGAGGACTCAGACTTTGTCAAAGCCAAAGGGCGAGGGTCCATCACCCCCTTTTGCTGTAGCCCCCAATGTCCTTCCTTGGGGGCCTCCCATGTGACCGTGCCTGTCTGAGGTCGTTCCCCCCCTTGGGCAATCTTACCAGTCACTGGCCAACCAACCAAGCACTGGGGGCCAGGCAGGGTGAAGTAAAAGGAGCAGAAGCAGCGCCCCTGCCAGGGAGATAAGCTTTTGTCTCCTTAGTGGCTTACGGTCCAAGGTCGCTCACCCAGCCTCAGTTTTGGCAGGGGTCACGGCTACTGAAACCAGGCAGGGCGGTTCCCCACAGTGGGGCTTTTGGAGAGTGAGACTGGGCGCCCTCCAGACCAAGGCGACTCGCTCCCGGAGGGAAGGGGAACCCTGGGAACCTGCAGGGATGGGGTAGCCCTCACAAGCCTAAGGGCTCCACTGTCCCCCGTCCCCCAGGACTACGCCGTGGGCTACATGCTGAGGCTGGGGGTCCCGGCGAAGAAGCTGCTGATGGGCATCCCCGCCTTTGGGAGGAGCTTCACGCTGGCCTCTTCTGAGACCGGTGTGGGGGCCCCCAGCTCGGGGCCGGGGACACCAGGCCAGTTCACCCAGGAGGAAGGGACGCTCGCCTACTATGAGGTATGTCCTGGGGAGAAGGCGGGCCCCCCACCCCACCCCCTTCCACCCCCCCGGAATAAAAACAGTGTTCCAGGGCACGAGCCCCACAGGACGGGAGGGAGTGGGGCGAAGCACACCCTGTCTGCCTCTGGTCTGTGCGGCCTGGGGCCACACAGCTTGGGGACGTTCGCATCTGCTTAGCACGAGCTTTCGGGAAGCCGGCAGTGGGGGATGGTGCCCCTGTAGCCTGTGGGCCTGAGAGGGACCCAGGAACTGCACCCTGTGACCTGCAGTCTCAGTGCCGCCCCCTGCCCTGCTCTCTGCTCAGATCTGTGACTTTCTTCGAGGAGCCACAGTGCACAGGCTCCCCGGCCAGCAGGTCCCCTATGCCACCAAGGGCAACCAGTGGGTGGGGTATGACGACCAGGAGAGTGTCAAAACCAAGGTAGGACCCCGGCCACATCCCAGGGCGAAGAGGGAGAGGAGGACCTGCAGGGCTGAGCGACCCGGAGTGTCCCCCCACCCAGGGAGGGGCCCAGACAGCAGGCTCCACCCCCACTCCAGCCCTGCCCCCTGCCTACTCCCTGAAGGTGCGGTACCTGAGGAGCAGGGAGCTGGCTGGAGCCATGGTGTGGGCCCTGGACTTGGACGACTTCCGGGGCACCTTCTGTGGCCAGAACCTGCACTTCCCGCTCACAAGTGCCATCAGGGATGCCCTTGCTGCGGCTTAGTGCTCTGCCCTCCGGCACTCGTAGCTCGGGGGTGCCCCTCGACCTGCAGTCCTGCTCCTCGGGGGGCCGGTCAGTTGCCCTGCTGAGCCCCATCTCCTCCCCTGCGGCCCATGCAGAGGCCACAGCTCTGAGCTCAGCTACGTGGACACGCAGGTGGCTGTGGGGCAGTGAGGGCTGGGGACCCACAGTGTCAGACGAGGCACAGAGCACATGGCCGAGAAGTGAAAGCGCTTGTGACCGAAAGCCCAGCTCCCTTCCCCGGGCCCCCAGTCTGAGGCCACAGCCAGCACCAGGCTTTGTCCAGAAAGTGGTGACCACGCCCTCCGCAAGGCCCACCTTCCCACCTGCAGCCGCAGCGTCCTTGTGTCTCCCCTCCTGGCTCCACGGCGGCTCAATAAAGTATCAGCGCTCCAGCGTGCGGGGCTCGCCCCAGCCCGTCTCTGAGGCCCGTGGGCCTGACCGCCCCGTCGCTTCTGGGCTCCTCTCCCCTGGGCTGGGGGGCCCTGAGCCTGCAGAAGGGGACACGGAGTCCCAAAGGAGACCAGGGTCAGCCCCCCGCCCCCTCCCCTACCTCCTGGGACACCCTCAGCAGAGACCACGGCTCCTCCACACAGGCTGCCCCGGGCACGTGGGGGGCTGCACAGCAATGGGGACGGCTTGCCTGGTGTCCAGGGTCCAGACGCAGCTAGGGACCCAGGGACCTCGTTCGTGCAGTGTGGGCTCTGGGACCTGGCCCAGTGGTTCTGGAGACCCGCTTGAGGGGCAGGGAAAGAGATGGCTATTGGCCGCCCTGAAATCTGAGCCCGCTGAAGCTGGGCAGATACAACTGGTCCCGAGGTCATGGCCTGGCCAAAGGCAAAAGGAGTGGGGACCTGGCCAGCACCTCAAGGGGACGTGACATTCCGCAGCTGCCCAGTGGAGCCAAGCATTCCCTGGCCCCAGACTCCTGCCCACCCCCCACCCAAGGGTCTTTAGAAGCCCAGGGCTGCGAGCCCCTGAGCACTCACCCCACCGCCGCAACCCCTTGGGGCCACCCTTCCCCGACTGGGCCGGCTCGGCAGGGCTGACTCAGGGCTCCAGGTCCGTCAGACTCACTTATAGCTGCCGACTCAGAGGGCAGGGTGGGGACCGGGCCTCCAGGACCCGCCCCTGCCCGGCAGGACACTGAGTCACCTGGCGGAGCCCACAGGCGCTGGGGCCCCTCACGCTGCTGCCCAGCAAGGGCAGCCAGGGGTGAGAGGCAGCCACACTGCCCACGCCTGGCTCCTGGGCCCGAGGCCGTGCCTGTGGCTGAGGACCCTGAGTAAATCACGTGTGCATTTATTTTTAAATTGCGGGGCACACCATACACACTGAAGCCGGCGCAGAAAGTGTATTTTTAATGGAAAGAGTTGTGCAGTGAAAACTTGTGTAACCAGCACCCAGGACAGGACATGACACCCGAGGTCCTGAAACCCCGCCCAAAGGCCACCACCCCACCCTGGCCTCCCGGGGTGGGGGGGGTGCCGCATGCACAGGAGGCGGCCTGCTCTGCCTCTTGGGTGCCGGCATCCCCCGCACTCACGGTCACTGGCACGTCCGCTGCGGAGGCTGCTCTTCCCCCCGCCCCCGTGCCGGCTGCTGCACAGACCCTGCCGTGGACGCTGTCAGCGCATCCGTCCCCTGGCGAACCTGTGTGAGCCCCCAGGGCGTCGCCGCGGGGCCTGGGGGGCGGACGCCGCACGTGCAGACCCATCCCACTGTCCCCGAAGGGACGGCCCCTGTTCACACCCCCAGCGGCAACGAGAGCCCTCGAGGCCCCTTCTCCCCAGCACGCGGAGTTCCGCGGCCTGCCAAGGGGCCAGCCACCTGAGTCCTCCGTGAATCCATGAACCCCGCCCCGCCCCATTTCCCGTGCTGCACACGCCCCGCAGGCCCTGCTCCGACGACGAGGCGGCCTGCCGGCTTCCCCCAGGCCCTCTGCCACACCTGCCGGGCTGGCCTGACCCCACCCCAGGGGCTCGGGGTCTGTCGCTGCTTGCTCTGTGGCCGGTGGGGACACGGAGGCCCAGAGAGGCCTTGGCCAGCATCCCCAGCAGAGGCAGTAGCCACAGGCCTTAGACCCCTTCCCAGAATCTCATCCCTAAAAGGCCTTCTTCGGCCCCACCCTGGGATCCCAATCCCCTCCCTCTCTAGGGCTCTCAATTCCCACAGCACCAGGGAGGCCCCAGGGGAGGGGCGGGCCAGGGGCCAAGGGCCAGAGGCTCCCCAGGGAAGGCTGTCTGGGCCCCAGCCCCAGGCCGAGGAACTCTGGGCACACATGACCCCCGGGAGGCCAGCTGGGCCTGATCTGGGCTCACCCTCCAGATGGACACTCTCGTTCCCTCCGTCCTGACCCCTGGCACAGGCTCCTGGCAATGTCCGCTCTCGCCCATCTGTGCGTCCTCCCATCTGGGCATCAGCACCCTGACTGCGGAGAGCCAGCCGGGGTGATGGACGACGCAGCGTGCTCCTCAAGGGACCCTGCGTCCCTCCCCCAGAGCTATTCCTGGCCTGAACGCCTCCCCGCCCCCCAGTCCCCCCACCTGACCTGACCCCACAGCTGGGAGCCATTTGGCTGGGGGTGGGGCAGCCCTGCCTATATAAGCCAGGACCTAGGTGTCCCAGGCACCCTGGAGGCCCAGACCCTCCACTGCTGACCTCTGCGCACTTCAGCTGGCCCCCCCGCCGGCCCGGCCATGACGGGAAAAGCCGCCTCAGAGGCCCCCGCCTCTGGCCCAGGGGAGAACACCTCCGAGGTGGCCCAGGTGCCCGCAGAGCCCGCAGAGGAAGGGGCAGCGTCGCCGAGGAGGATCACGCAGGAAGAGCAGGCTCCTGAACCAACACCTCCAGCACCTGCCCCTGCGGCTGCTAAACCTGTGCCTCCAAGTGAAGGTGACAAGAGGTGGGGCATGTGGAGGGGCAGGCAGGATGGCCGGAGGAAGGGGGCTCCTGGCCACCTCCCTCTCCCCTCCTCCCCCCGCAGACCTGCCCAGCATCCCTCTGCAGCTGACCGTGGAGGATGTGAGCGACAGCTCAGTGACCGTGAGCTGGGAGCCCCCAGAGCGGCTGGGCAAGCTGGGGCTCCAGGGCTACCTGCTGGAGCTTCGCAGGGAGGGAGGTGAGCTGCGGGCCAGGCCCTGGGTGCGCCCGGGCAGGCGGGTGGTTGGGCTGGAGACAGCAGGGACGAGCCCCTGGTGTTGCCGTCGGTAGGTCGGGGAGACACACCCGGAGAGTGGAGGCAGGGGTGTCTGAGTGACCTTAGGAGGGGCCGTCCCCCAGCTCAGGGAGCCCCTGAGAGACGGCCCAGAAGCCCGGGCCTGGGCTCTGCTCTGCAGGGGGGTGAGGGAGGGGCTGCATCTCAGGAGACCCTGCTGGGGGAGGGCAGGGGGACAGTGAGAGACAATATGGAGAAAGAGGACCGACGCCTGTCCTCCGCCCCCGGCGGCCAAAGTCCGCCGGGGTCCTGCCGCAGACCCCACCTTCTGGGTGACTTGGCAAATGTGTCCCTCCTCCGTGATCTTCAGCAGCCACACCTCCCCGGCCACCCGTCGGCCCTAATGGCAGGTGTCCTCAACGCCGTTTGGACACGAGAGGCAGGGAAGGGGAGAGGGGGGAAATAGGCCTGAGAGGGAGGTCAACTTCCCCAGTCACCAGCGAGAAGGGACGCCCCGCAGGGCCGGCCGCCCTGACCCCCAAGCTGGGGCCTCACACCCCCTCCCCCGCAGCCTCGGAGTGGGTGCCCGTGAACGCCAGGCCCGTGATGGTGACCCAGCAGACCCTGCGGAATCTGGCCCTGGGAGACAAGTTCTTCCTGCGCGTGGCTGCTGTGAGCTCCGCGGGGGCCGGCCCGCCGGCAGTGCTGGACCAGCCGGTGCACATCCGCGAGATCGTAGGTAAACCTCCCCAGGCACCTTGTCCGAGGGCCAGAGAAGCCGAGGCCAGTGGCCAGAGAGAAGGGGGCCGTCGTCCCCCGTCCCGCACCACGGCTGCACACGCCGCACGGGGCCACCTTCCTGCCTTAAGAAAGCTCCGGGTTCCCTGTCAGCCACTGTGCACATCGGTAGATATTTATTTATAATTCACATATGAATAGTTCTCAGAGCAGCTTATTGTGAAAGAAAATAAAATCTCTAAAACAAAAAAAAGTTCCAGGTTGCTGTGCAACAACAGACCTCTAGAGGTGCAAGAGGCCACTCCCCTGAGGGGCCCAGCCTCCAAGCGTGGGGGCTTCCTGACCCCCAAAGTGAAGCTCAGGCTCCCCAGTTCCCCTGCCAGTGCTAACAGCCATTCCGTCCTTCCTCCTGCCTAATCTCCATCCCTCCAGGGGCCGAGAAAGCTCCCTTCTACCCATTCCCTGAGTGTTCCACGAGGCCCGGGTTCCAGGTCTCGGGGCAGAGGCTTGGGGACAGAGAGATGTTGTCCCTCAGCGTCTCTGGTGGGAGGAAGACGAGGGCCCTCGCAAGGCCCGTGAAGGGTTCTCCATCCCCAGAGGGCAGCACCGCCCTGGGGACCTGAGATTTCTATTTGCGGGTGCCACCTCCCAGGGCCGGTCGGGTTTCAGTCCGCTAATGGCAGTGAGTCATTTCTTCTGATCCGAGGTCTCTGGGGATGGCCCAGGGCCCCAGTGAAGGGAGACACAGGCCAGCCTGTGGCCTGAGGCTTTCTCCACCTCCACCCCTGGTCCCACCTCAACCGTTGGGGAGCACCCCATAGTTCTGAACAAGGCCTCCTGAAACTGGGGGTTTCATGGCCACGGGAGGGGTCAAGCTCTGACCTAAGGACACGCATCTCAACTCCAGGGCCTGAGCGACGTGGGGCCCACAGGGAGCTCAGAGCCACAGGCTGCCACCGTTGCTCAGGGACCCTCGGGAGGAGACCTAGCCCAAACCTGACCCCCAGACCGTTCCTGCCTGCCACGTAGCAGGACGTCTTGCTGGGCTTTTCAGAACCCGAGGACATTCCTAGCCTTTCAGTCTGGGTGAGGCAGGGCTGCACAGGGGGACACAGAGACCTCTTGCTGGGGCGGTTCTTAGAGCCCCCCACGGCCCAGGGTGCTCGGACTCCGAGAGGCAGCAAGGGCCCGGCCTCTCCGCCAAAGCCCGACGCTGATGGGCAGGCTCAGCACCCACGACTCCGCTGAATTCCTCTGGCAGCGCACAAGGGGATTTCCTGGAGAGAAGGGGGAGAGACTGTGAGCAAACAGGGACCAGCCAGGCCCGCCGGGTGGGCAGGGCAGGGTGCGGGCCAGTCCAGGTTCCTCGGCTGCTCAGCTGTCTCTCCTCGGCCACCTGCAGCTGCCAAGCATTCCACCCCGAGGCTCCCGGAGCCCAGCGCCCACCCAGCTAATCCTCGGAGACACAGTGTCCCTTCTCACTGTCTCCTTCCCTCCGCCAACTGCGGCCACCTGTTTGCACTGAGAAGCCTCAGTCACCACCAGCTCCACGCCCCTGGGGGCAAGTGACTCCTGCCCTGGGAATGCCCAGGGGCTTCAGGGGTGGCTCCCGATGAGGTGCCAGCAGGCCGGCCAGGTCCTGCCCTTGCCGGGGCCAAAGTCAGGTGTCGGGAAGAACTCCCCAGCTGTGGGACTGGGCAGGGGTGGGAAGGGAAACGGCCCGAGCCTCCATGTGACCAGGAGACAAACCGCTGGGCACCTGGGCCTCCCAGGGGCTTCTCAGAAGGTGCTGGGCTGGTGGGGGTGGAGGGGCTGGACCAGGGGGCCGAGGCTCTGCGCCTCCTCCCCCTCCTCCTCTCTGGGAACACAGGCCGGCAGGTGCACACCCCAGCCTGGCCAGGTCCAGGAGCCTAGCGACGCCGGAGGCCTCCCTCTCACACCGTGGAGGCCCTGCCTGCCTGGGGTCTCCTGGATCTTCGTCCCCAAGGGCCTCAGGGGCTGCGGCCCCTGCTCTCAGTGGGGG